AACAAAACTATGAACTGATTCCTGTGCTATGCCATAATTTGTCACTACTGTATGCTTTTCTGTGCTGTATATACTGTATTTTTCATTGTGAAGGACATCTAGGATTCACTAAAATAATCAGTTATCACATGAGAACTATTAATTGTCTCACCAATGCCCAAAAGTCTGTATCACACCAACAAATCTTTTGTGAATGGCCAGTGTCATATTTTGCTAAGCTATGGCTGCTTGTTGAGGAAGTTGCAATGGCTATGTACACAAGTTTACAAACCATAATAGCTGGGTTCATACAAAATACCAAGCCAAAATCAAACAAAATGTCATAGTAAAATGTATGAACCCAATTACTCCTGTATTTCACTTCCCTCTAGTTGGCATTTCATTGTTCTTTTCCTGCACTACAGTGTGTTTGCATAAAGACTAGACCTGTGCAAAACATTACTGTAATTGAAGCACTTTGAAGTGCCGTTCAAGATCCTTTCTCCAAATTGTGAAGCAGTTGAATTTACATTAGCCTGATAAAAGTTATTTTAGGGCATGCTCACACATGATTATTACTGAACAGAACCAAAAGGATGCTTTCCTTGTTGAATGATTTATACAGGCGTAGACTCTATCTTCTCTCTGTGTCAGGATAATACTCAGGTACCTGATGAAGAATCATAAATGTATTGTAAATATAAACAATAATAAATATAGTCTTTAAAGTGCAGTAAGACTCTGGTTTTACTCCAGCAAACATGCCTATCTCTTATTGAAAAATTGACACACTTCTGAGATGTGAATATTACAGATTTTGTATGGGTAGATTTGTGGAGAGTTCTTTAAAAGTGTAAAATAAGATTCACATTATGTTTTAAATTGAACATTCAATATAAATGCTTTCTGCAAATTATATGTAGTCTAACAATTTGTTGATTTTTGTGAAGCTGAATTGGAGGAACAGCTAAAAATACAGCTATGCTAGGTCAGCATCATGGAGAAATTAATGCTTTCTTAGAGGTTCTGTTTGGAAAGATAGTTAATTTTCTACTTTTTGATTATACAATGAAATGTTAGCAGTCTTGTAGGAGCTACCAGGGGCACAGAATGCTACATGAATAGCTGTTGTTTGCTGAAAATGTGTATCTGGTACACTAAGCTTCTGACTCTCAGAGAACATGCTTGTTTCCTTGAAGTTTTGGTGCTTGACCTGGAGTAGCTGGGATGGGTAAAGAGATATGTAAAGAAGGACCTCTGTGCCTTGATAGCTGCATTCAGTGGTGGCCCTCCAGGCTGAGGTTCAGATCAATACCCTGCCACTTTGCTGTTTAATTTAGCCTGGAGTATGGGTTAGCTCATATATTTGCCGTTTGCTTTCCTCCTCCTGTCCACCCCTGGACTTGCCTCTTAATTTTTCCCCTCTCTCATCCCAAAGTCCCCTTTCCGTTATCTCTCTCTGCAGCCAGTTTACAATTCTTTGTAGTTCTGTCCCCACTCCTAAGACCATTTTCTCTGGAATTGCCTGGTTATTTCTTGCTTGCTTTCCTCTTGCACTGCATAGCACCTCTGGCTCAGATCTCAATAGGCCTATGCCAATTGTTCATGAGTGATTTTACCACGACAATAGAAAAGCACTAACAGGATGATACTGGTCCTTCAGGAAAGGGCAGGCAGAAGTAGGAAGGCAATTTACGTGCTTGTCACAGTCACCAGTGAAGCTCCAGTGGAAAATGACCATTGATCTGCACCTTTATTTTACCTTTGTAGCTCAGTCGCCTTATCACTCCCTCCCCAGAGCTGCAATGTCCTGGGAGAAGGTAGAGAAGAGAAACTAGAACTGCTCCTATGGAGGGCTTTTCCCTCAGAACATTTATTTTTTCATCCCAGCCTGGCAGTGAATCATCTGTGTGTGTGCAAGCCAGATGTGTGCATCTCCAAAGCTGGATTGTTGTCATAATTTGCACCATTCTGCCTGAACAGGGAGCAAGTTGGACAGGGAGCGCCTTGATGACACTCCCTGAGTGACTGCCAATTATTCTTGGATCTATTTATTTTCTATTTATTAATGGTATATTGTAATTTATAATTTAAATTGATTTTAACTGTTTTGTAAACCACCCAGAGTTGTTTCAATGAGATGGGCGGTGATAAATTTTATATATAAATAAGTAAGTAAGTAAGTTCTGATGGGGCTGAAGCTTTGAAGGCCCCCAGCAGGTGCAGATTTCATAGCTTGTATGTACATAACTATAACAACTGGTGAAGGGAGTAGCAAAACTTTTGATATGACAAACTTGTGGTTCTAGCCATCTATTGAAATCAACCACTGACCACAGCAGTTTGTTCATCTATTTTTATTCATGGGGTGGGGTCATTGAAATTCATTTATTATTTGAAGAGGAATCAGGGTATCAAGAAGTAACTCCTGTCATACGTTATTCTGTCCAGCCAAAGTGTTACAAGTAAAGGAAACAGAGAAGTTTGGGAAGGATACCATTATTATGCATCACACAGGGAAAATAACAAGTAGAAAGCAATTTCTCCCCTTGTATATAATTCTAAAACCCAAGTCATTCAATCTTAATGAATCTGAGATTCAGGACAAAGAAATAATACTTTATACAGGGGCCAGTTAAACTACAGAACTTGTTGACCCAAAATAGGTTGTTGGCCATCTAGGTGAACCACTTTGAAGGTAAGTTAGAGAAATTTAAGAGAGAAGTACAGGAATGTGCAAAACATTCCATCTCAGGAGAATCCATGTTTGAGTTAAGGAGGCAGCAACAAGGTGGCAGATAAAGGAAGCAACACAGGTTCTTTAAGGAGTTGCCTGCTGCTATAATGCGTGTGGCCTCGTGTGTTCCATAGCACTTTTCCTGAAGTGGAGTATTGCCCACTTCTGTAGAGGCAGTATGCCAATATACCTCTTGATGGGAACAAGAGTGGAGAATTCTGTTGTTCTTAGGTCAGCTTGTGGGTGTCTAGTATAGTAGTATCTGACTGGCCACAATAGAGCGAACAGTGCTTCACTAGGATAGATTTTTGGTCTAACCCACTACTGCTGTTCTTATCATCTTATATACATATTGCCACAGGCAGAGCTCCAGGCAGTTTGACTCATAAACTTGGCTGTATGTGCTTTAGATATTGGTTGATGCATTTGTGCTAGATTTGTAATTGAGTAATGTTAGCATAAAAATGGAAGCTTACTGGTTTGGCTACAGCTACCCTCCAAATTTAACAGTGATACACTTAAGTAGGTAGTTTGTAATTTAGAATGGTAAAACCTGAGAAACTAAATACTGTATGTAAGCCACAAATGACCTTATTAGGATTCATAATTTGATAGATACAGTGTACCACATTCTAACCTTTATGCTCCCCTACACCCATCTAATGTTCCTACCCCTCCTTTTAGATTCCTTTTAAATATATGTGTATATATTACATACACGTATACATATGACATACACATATACATATGACATACACATATATATATACATATGACTTTGATGTATTTTTTATGCTTTTTAATTGACTGTACCCCACCCTTCTTATGCTGGTATATGGCCATAATAAAGATTTGACTGACTGACCTTATTAGGATTCATATTCCTCAGAAAAATAAGTATTTTTTTCAGGTTTAGATGAAATACTAATGATTTGTACGAGCAAGATTAATTCAAGTTATTTGGTGTTTTATTTTCCTGAAAAAGTTTAGTTCCTCAGGATAGATTAAATTCATATTTAAAGTTCAACAATATATATTTAAAAGTTGTTGTTACTGTGAGTTAATGTATGCAGTCTTTCTTGAAATTAAGATCCTTTCTTAATTTACCCTTTCTGAGTAAGATTATAGTTTTAGTTAGTATAATAGCACTCTCTAAACACTGAGCATTGATACTGGTGGGAGGTTGATTTATTTCTTCCTGTGGTTCTTATTTATAATTCAATACATATTTTTATTATTATTAGAGGTACATTATAGCAGGTTTGCAAAACGTTAGTTGATCATATTAATCAAATGGCCAGAAACTCTTGAAAGGTATATGTTACAAATGAAGAACATAGCCAGATATGGTCAAGGAAGGCGAGGAATGTCTAGAGATTCATTTACAGTCCTGGATTGAATTCTTATAATTAATGCCTTTACTATCTCACTATCTTACTGAGTTGTATTTGCAACCCTAAAATGAGGGGCCGAAGCAGTATGTGTGCCAAGACGGAATTTCACAGATGATTCTGAATTTGCCAGTCGGCTTGGGCTATAGGCAGATAGTTTTCAAGAAAATAATTGTCATGGGTATAGATCTGCAGTTTCTAAGATGCTATGCACAGGAAACCCCCAGTTTAAGAACAAGTTCCGTTTCCAAGGTCTGTCTTTAAGTCGAATTTGTATATAAGGTGGAACAGTATTATTGTATAATACTGTATAAGTAGTATTGTGTAATTAACTGGAACCATCGTGTATTTAACTCAAATTTTGCTACAGTAGGCTCTGTTTTTAACTATGGGTTGTCTGTAAACCGGGCGTTTTTAACCCAGGGACTACCTGTAGAGTCTAAACTTGTCAGCAAATTCTGTAAATGTTATTCCGTGTTTTCTTTTCGGAGGTCCTGAGTCAGTTCTTCAAAGCTAGTTGTAGTTATGCTGACTTTCCTTATGAGACTTACTATAATTCTTGCAAACAAGAATTTATAGAAGTAAGGAAATCCAAATTTTAATAGTGCTTTGAACTTTCCTGAACAGCTTTTTCATAACTTCCATATAGTAAAAACATACAGTGGAAACAGCTGTTTTCTGGCCTTGAAAGCTATTCACTTAAGTGTTTCTGTTCTGTATATTATTATTATTAATATTACTATTATTCCTGCTATGAACAGTCTTTTTCCAAATACTTTTTTCCTGTTTTGCTGTGTGCTAGGAATAACCATTGTACATCTTCATTCTTCCATTCTGATAATCTGAATGTTATATTAAATGTTAATCTCTCTCCTTTTGCTTTTTTTCTGTAGTAGAGAAAAATGACAAAAATGGAGGTGAAGACATCTCTTCTTGACAATATGATTGGGGTTGGAGATATGGTGCTTCTGGAGCCCCTTACTGAGGAAACCTTTATCAGCAATCTCAAACAACGCTTTGATCACAATGAAATATATGTAAGTATGCTACAAATAATTTCCATATTTTAGTTTATATGGGAGTGTCATTTCAAAAAAGGGCATGGATTTAAAATTCTAGACTGGTATTTGAAACATAATTTTTTCCCAATAAAATACAACAATCTTATAAGATTACTAAATGTGAGTTATATAATTATATGTATAATAGTGGATCTATTCAACGGCTGTGACAGATTGAGTAATTTAACAATCTAATTGTAAGTTGATGTGTAACTATTATAACTTCCCTTGCTCTGTCTTAGTAAAGTAGTGACATATGGCTCATGAGGCTGTAAAAGAGAATGGGTAAAGCTGAGATTAGGAACCCTAAGAACAGAAGCAAAGGAAGATCCAAGGCGGGAATAATTGGAGGAGAAAAAGTATAGATTAGGATTCTGTTTAAAAGTAAATATCTTTTACTTATGCAATTTCATAGTTTTCTTTATTATTAAATTTGTATAGGGATAAAACGATGCTGCTGTTTCTTGAAAGTCTATTGAGCAATTCTCATCTGGGATTAGCACATCACGTGAAGCCACAATGTTGTTTGAGAGGTTCTTTTGTTCAGTGCATTGTGTTTCTAAATCATGGTTTTGCTTAGCATATTATGCATGCTCGGCCAATTATAATTTACTGACCAAATGTCACCTCTGGTTCAACATGATGTGTGAATCCAGCATTTTCCCGTTTTCTTTTGAAGTTCTTTGGAACTTCATCTGCTGCCTTAATGCAAATGAAAGAATGGCTTCCCTCTCCAGGGTTGTGTTTAACCCCCTTTTAAAATAAAAAGCTATTGTTTACACTTGCCAGAGGGAGGTTGCAACATAAAAATCCTCTTTAAATGGTATGCCCTGGGTTTCACTCTGGGTTGATTAAAAGAAACATCTTCCATGTCTCAATATTATTACAGTCTTTCTTGTTTTAGGGATAGTGAGTCACCCTCTACCCTTCACCCCTCTACAATTAATTACCTTCTGCTCTTTCACCCTGGGTTCGGAGTTTGTAGCCATACACTGAAAAGACATTAAATTGACCCAGATTATGCTCTCAAACTTGCTTAGAGTTCTCCTGTTCTTTCCCCCTTAGAATTATGAGAGTTATATGCTATACTTCATTTGGTTTTCAAAACTTCATTCCTGTGGTTGAAAGGATTGCGTACTAATAAAAGAGGATTGTAAAAAATGTTATGCTTCTACATACATGTCAAAGACATGGGAAAATCAGCATTATTTTCTAAAACCAAGTCAGCATTTTGTAATTGCCCAGGTTACTGCTTGTTTTCTACTGTTGACCTGAGATTTACGGTAATGGTACTATAGACAAGGAAGATTACTGTCTCAAAACTGATATAGCACTAAATTAAAATGCATGTTTGCCCATAGATTAATATGCTCATAACTTGTATTTGTCAAATAAAATGGAATCAAGAAAACAGAAGAAAACATTTTTGAAGACTTTAATATTATAATTATTTGGTAATTATTGTCATGATGTTAAGATATCATAAAATGGAGTGTATTGACTGTAGTGTTTTCACCTACCAGTCTTAGGTATACATCTATGAATGTATTTTAAGGTACACTAAGCAGGTGGGTTTGATTGTGGTTTGCCAGTGTGTGAAATGGATTTCAGATATGTTAGGATTACCTTCTATGGACAGATTTGAATGTTACACTTAATACCTTGTTTGGTTTTTGGTTTTGGAGGAAGGTGTTTCAGTAGTTTCAATAATTTCCAGTATTGTTATTTTTATACACATTCTTTCACCTATCATGAAGATAGGTGCTTGTCAAACTTCCTAGAGCAGTGTTTAGTAAACTATTCAAGACCATGGAACATCAAACAATGTAAATATATATTATATGAGGGAGTTCTATTAATGTTCCTTTAAAGAAGGACAGAAGATCTTGAAATAAAACATACGCTTTGTGTTCCCATACAACATACTACTCTTACAAACGAATGGGCTCAGAGCTACCAGTTACTGATGAGGAAAGAGAGCTTGGAGTAATGGTAAACAGTTCAGTGAAGGTGTTAATATAGTGTGCATCTGCTATAAAAAACGGCAACAGCATATTAAGGATAATAAGAAACAGTATTGAAAATAGAGATGCCCATATCATAAAACCCTTATATAAATCAATGATGCAACTGCATCTGGGATATTCTGTGCATTTCTGGTCCCTGTACCTCAAAAAGGATATAATAGAGCTAGAGAAAGTTCAGAAGAGGGGCAACTAAGATGATCAAGAGGCTGGAGCAGCTTCCATATGAGGAAAGGTTGCAATATTTGGAGTTGGTTAGTCTAGAAAGTAGGGGAATGAGAGAGGGCATAATTGAGGTGTACAAAATTATGCATGGTGTGGGTAAATGAACAAGGAGAAGCTATTTTCTGCTTCCCAAAATACTAAAACCAGAGGTCACCCAATGACATTGGATCCTGGAAGAATCAAGACAGAAAAAAGGAATTTTTTTTACACAATGTTTAATTCATCTTTGGAGTTTGCTACCACAAGATGTGGTGTTGGCTATCAGCTTGGTTGGCTTCAAAGAAGGGTTGGACCAATTCATGGAAGTCATAGGGATCAGTGTCTATTAGCCTTGATGGCAGTGTGACTGCCTCTGAAGACCATATGCTGGGAGACTAGTGGGCTTCTGTGTGCAGTTGGTTGGCTACTGTGAGAATAGACAGCTGAACTAGATGGCCCATGGGTCCGATCCTGCAAGGCACTGCTTATGTTCTTATATTTAATACATCAGTATCAGCTCATATAAGATGGCATATTTATTCAATATCTGGAGAAAATCTTACAGGTATAACATTTAGCTTATTTCAAAATTTGGCCATGGTTGCAATGAGCATAGAAAATTCTCTTTCACAAAAGTATGCATGAAGGAAAGGGTAATAGAACATTATGTATCTTTCACTTAATACCTTTCCCCCCCAATTCTTTCTATGTGAATCTCTGGTATTTTTCAACATGTCTTATTTAAAAATAAGGAACATTTTAGGGTGATGAAACTGAGTGAATCCAAACCCCACAAACATTATCTTAGGACCAGCTTGAGGAACACCTTCATGTAGTTTGGGGAACACTAGGGCAGGGAAATTAGGTATTGGGCTTGCTTTAGCAAAATCACAGCTATGGCTTTTGTCATTATTTTAGGAATCATTTGCCTTCCAGATAGCAGTGAATGTTATTATGATGAGAAGTTTTGTTCAGTGCCATGTTTTTCTTTCCTTAAGGCTTTCAAACAAACATTTAAATTCTTATTTTCAGCTCTTGGACAGAAAAAGTAAATGACAAAGGAACCAAACTATCTGATTGCCCTTAAGAATAATGTTAACTCATGTCCTCAGGATAGGATTGATAACATTAAAGCAAAATCCTTGATGATATTTAGAAATGTTGTCTGATTGCCAAAATAAACATAACAGCTTTTTCATTGAGATGCCACACTACATACACAGTACCTGATTTGTAATTTTTATTTTCTAATTAATCCTATAAATTTAATGGCATTTGACTGGAAAATTGAAAACAAACAGTGGAAGATAGGCAGCAGGAAACCACTGCAAAAAACCCTGCATGGATGCACTCACCAAGAGTTGAGCTCAACTCGAGAGCATCTTTGCAATGTAAATTTCATTACTGCTATCTTCTCTTGTTTCCCTCTTTCACTGAACATATTTCTCTCAATTCCTCCTTTGCTGCCCCAATGTAGGTTAAATTCATGAAAATATTGGTAAACGTACTGTATTTTGTTTAATTGAAAAGACCTGAGGTTTCAAATATTGAAATATGAATCTTTGTGTGATATAAGGACAAGAAATACAAATTGTATATATATTGCTTAAGGGATTTATCAGGGCTCTATGAATTCATGGCAGTTCTGTTCTGCTTCATGAAAACAGAACTTTACTACATAGAAAATATTCCTTACTACCACTTACTCCAAAGTTTCCTTTAAAAAAAAAAAGATTAGAACAGAAGCCCTCTGTGCATGTGTGTAGTGGCTAAGGGCCATAATTTTTCAATGAACGCGATTGGTTCTGGCCACTTTTCTCCCATCCACCACCAACTATGTAAACAATCAAATTGCTTTTCAGTCTCATCTGAATGTTAAACTCCAACTTGGGGAAGGAATGTCACATGAGTTAATGAAAGAGAAAGTGAGTCTAGTGTTCTTGCAGTTTTAAAGAGTGTTTCCTTTTCATCACCTCTCCTTTCAAGGATTCATAGTGTTTTTAAAGCTGATAGAGATGGTCTTGTATTTCTAACACTAAGATGGATTCTGTTGATTGGAAGTTCTGAATGTGCACCTCTAAATCATATTTAATTTTTACAACACCTGTCAGATCAGTTGGCATAAATACTGAATTCACTTACCTGGAATCAAGCCCAATTTGAACAGTTGGCCTTACATGATATGATTGATGTTCCTAATCATGAAATGTTTATCCTAGGTTTGATTTTCTTGTTCTTTGATTCAGTTAGTCCTCTTTCCCCTCCTGCTTGTTAATGGTATAAGGTAGCTGTTTCCAATTTCAGATACATTTGACTACAGGGTCTTGGTGAGGTATCATGGAGTTGTAGTCCCATATATCTGGAGAATACCATTTAGGGAAAACTGGTATTACTTAATTGCCAGTTTAAAGTTCTTTAGAAATAGAGTACCAACACTTGTGTACTTTTAAGATTGTATTCATAAAATAAAATAAAATATTGTTAATTAATATGATAGTTTAGGAATCACAGTTTAAACAAATGAAGGTGAATTGCATTTTTAATTTGTTTACAGATTAAGTTTTTTGGTGTAATTTAATTTATATTTTTTTCCTTAGAGTTGTTTGACTCAGCCAAAACACACCTTTCCTTCCTTTGCCGTTGATCAGCTTTATTCTGTAGTCAGTTTATTTCATTACAACATTTTGCTGTATAGTTCTTTAATTAAATGGGGTAGACATAAATATGTATATTAGATAAAGGTACTCA